ATAGGGCGTTCGCCTCATTGTCACGACAATAGTAGAAATGTAGATGTTGTAGATGGTGTAAGACCAGGAATAGTGTCAAAATACTCAGGTAGATACATTACATGCTGTTGGCAGCCGAGTTGCGAGACCGGTATTTATTCAGCATGGGTTTGAAAAACCAGTAATCCAAATGTTCTCCCCAAACCCAAAGAGTCTTGCCACGGAAATCTAGACAGTAATTATCACCCGTTGCATAATGCTTGTGCTCGACAATAGAAATTTCGCCATGGTTCTCCCATCTACCGCGGACCCCTCTCAAGCACAACAAGGGGAGATGCAAGTAGAGCCACCATGACTGACGGTAGATCATCTCGAGACCGAGCAGGGAGCTCCGCATCACGGCGGCTGCAACTTCAATGCTTTCAGAACCATATTTAATCAAGAACCCTGCTTCACAAGGAAACACCTCGAGACCTGTAGCCTGATTTTGCGACTTAGTAACAAAAAAGGAGGGGAAAAGGACAACCTTGTACACGTACCAGAGCCATGGTCGAGGAGCAGTGCCGGGCCAACCAGAGTTTGAGGATATGGCAGCTCTGGAGGTGATAACAGCGTAAGATAGGATGAGAGGTTGCGAGCCGCATGAAAGTGCACTTCTCCAGACCATTGGGGCGGCTGAGTAAACTTATATGTACAGAAGCCAGAGCTAGCTTGAATAGACTTTATGATCCATGGTATGTAAGTCTCCGAAAGCAAAGACCCTTGTACATAATCAGGATTCTTATCAGCTTTCCTGCGCTGGTGTATCTACAGGAACGAATACGAAAGGGGAGGGTGAGTCCACAACCAGTAATGGGAAAGAAGGTGTGGAATAAAGTAGAGGTAAGACAAGGTCGGGATGACAAATCCTAGCATAGTGAAGGCAACTCGAGATGTCACAACAACAGCAGATGTGTCAGCTAGTAGGATACGCTTGAGCTGAGCCAAAAACACCCATCTCCGCAAGAATTTTACCAGAATAATACCGAGAGAAAGGGACATAAAATGCTCAAGGGTGCCATTTTGTTCATGCAGTACGATTGAACAATATAGGCAACGGTTTAACCATAGAAAGAGATATAATGGGAAAGGCAGGAAATTGGCGAACTCTACACACTACATGCGCCTCGCACCAAGACAATCATTGCCGTAGCATTGATAACGGTCAAGGGTGAAAGTTTCATCGAACTAGTCAAACCTCTTGTTTGATGGAATAAGGAAGGGCAACGTAACGGGGAAGTGACAACTCTAGGATGGGATAATGCTCTACTTGTTAGGATTAGCGCACTTCGAACCCCCCTGTACCCAATCTAGATAGAATAAGTATAGGGGTCTATATAGATAGCTCTTGTATATTATTGCATAAGTCGCTATTTCAACTACAGCAGCCCAGCAAGTCTCGCACCGCATAAGGATGGCGAGAAGAGTTCCAATGACATTGCGCAGTGGTGACTTCGGCTGTGCCGATGCCGCAAAATTCTACAGGGAAATACATGTTGGCAAACATTGTGAACAGGTGGCTATCCACGCGTCTCCTTTCTTCCTCGAAGGCAGCTTAGAAACATTCTACGGGTGCACAATTCAAGTTTCGCCGTGTTCCCTTGCCAATTCAACCCAGGAACAGACTGATCAAATATGGCCAATTTGCGACTCGTTATTCAAAGCTAGAAATTGGGTCCTAGTCTCGTATTTCAACATAAATCTGCTCCTTTTATACGCCCCTTTCAAAGGATTGTTTTCTAACAGCGGGTGTATGAAGTAGTAGTACATCAGCCCATTAAAGAACTTCAGCTATTAAAAGCATACTCTCTATCGCCAGGAAGTTTAATGATAACCTGGTTATGGAGGACAATTGTCGCAATAAACTCCTCCGCGAGTGAAGCCTTCATTAACTTAATGTACATGATCATAAGGAACCCACTAGGTATTCAATCTAACGAGAGATACGTCTCCCACCTCCTTTTCCGCACAAAATGATCAGCTCCCGGTCTCTCCTAGGCCTATTCGAATCTTATTGCACAAAGTTATGCAGTTGATTATGAGTTTATAATCTTCTTGCTAGACAGGCTGACAGGGAGCGAGTAGAGCGGACGCTAATGCACGGGGATCAACCTGTTCATCCAACCATGTTAGCGCTAACCCATAGATACCTGTCCTCTACTGGGGTAAGTAATACGAGTGGGGCCAGTATCGCGGTACAGGGGTAAAAAAGATACATGACAAGAGAGTTATGCAAAAGTATTATAGAGATCGATACATTCATAAGGCGATTAGCCCGTGCCAGGCCGGTTAATTATAGAATTGTTTCTTAAAACTTAGGCCTCAGTATTGTCTGTAAGTATACCATACCTAGGCTTACCGAGATTTTTCATGCTATGATGGCTCGACCTAATCATAATATTCCCAGTACTTTGCTACAAGGATCATCACACCCCATCTATTTTCTCTGCACTCTAATTCGTTTTATTATATTTTTGGCCCGTGCTTTGGAGCTAGGGTATCTTAGCCAATACAATATGCTTACGCAGCTTCAGAGCCTCTGATCATTTTCGGCTATGAGATTTCCCCACCTTAACGCGTTTTGAACGACGTATCGTACCGCAGGGTCAATACATAAATCATCGCAAGGATGCCTAATACCATGCGGCTGGCATGTATTGACAGGCAAGGAAACGCGAATGAGCTTAGTGCGATGTTACAGCAACAACCATATGACGCTCGTGACTTAGTGGCCGATGCCGTATTCCAGTGCCAACGATCGCTTTCGGACTATTTGGACTACCTCCAGACAGAGAGTGCGGTACGAAACGCAATGATCCATTTCCAAGGCGAGCAAGAAAAATATGCGAGGGCCTATGTACTCAGTCGTACGCTCGACCACCGCACCCAGAAAACGGCTAGAGCTGATCTCATCTATCTCGCTTTTTACCACGGGGGTCCTCTGGCTCTAGTGGGTATCTTCTACGCAACAATTGATGCCCATCGTAACCCCCGTAGCCGTGAAGTACTAGATTACTTGTTGAATACAGCATCAGATGAAACCAAACTCCGGTTGATTGCGCGAGTGGGCACATTTCCATGCAACCCAAGCATAGGCACTTGGCTGCTAAAGTTACTAGAAAAGCTAGAACCTAGCGTTCAACAGTTTGCATGTATACTTCGGTGCTTGAGTACTTCGGAGGTACCGAAGGAATTGTTCTATCGCGCGCGTGCACCATCCTTGACTTGGGGTGCAGATGGGGAGGCTACTGGGACCAATCTACCCGTGATCCTTCCGGTCACTGAGGAGTCCAAGTTTGCAAACGCAGTGGCCCGCTTAGAACACATTGGCTTTGTGCATGTTTCGGAGCATGCTCTAGGCCTGAATGCTCGAATAGCAGAACTGCTTCATGGGCACCTTGAACAGGCTATATTCGTTGCAGAAGCTTTCAAGGTTGTTACGCACGGTTTTCCCAAGTACCCAGAGTTGGAATCTAATAGGTAAGGATACTTAGGCCGATGGTAACACGTTTGTACTAACGCCTCGCAGCTACCTAGAACAGTGCGAGACGTTCCTACCTATCTTACAAAACGCCTCTGCCTATCTTATTAACATGCAGGCCGCGACCCTTGTCGACAACGCAAGCGTGACGCAGCTCGTTGAAGCGTACCTATCAGCTTCAAATTTCGGCGATAAGCCGTGGAAGCAAAAGGCTATCGCGATCGCCACAAAGGCGGCCCAGAATCTGGCCGACTCCCCGAGCAAAACGCTATTTGCTGCCGTGTTACGTGTGAGACAGGACTCGCTGGCGCACCTGTATCAGGATGCAAGCCAGGGCCAAGGGCCCATTATTTTTCCTATAGTTGATCATCGATCCAATGGGCTTTCTGCCCAATTAGCCATATTAGAGGCCCGGAAATGCATAAGTTTCAATGCTCTGGCGTCGGCTTCAGAATACCTAGCAAAATACCAACCTTCTTTGTACGGTCCGCCGTCCTCGCTGGAGATGATGCAAAATAAACAAGTAACCCTTATGCGTAGTCGAATCTTACGCCTAGAAGGTCGCTTCCAAGATGCTTACGATCTATTACAACAGGCGCTCGATGACGGAAACCAGACGGTTTCCCTCCTTGGCACCCTGCTCTGTGAGCTCGGGAGGCATGACGAAGCGATCCAAAAACTGAACCAGCAGATAGCGAAAAATTCACGGAGAGGAATGTTCGCTGTCAAGATTGCCTTAGGAAACGCTTATCTATTTCGATGCATGCGATATGTCAGCCGTAAAGAACCCTTAGATTGGCAAACATTGCTATCAGCTCGCGATATTTTCCAGGGCCTTTGTATTCCCCCTACGGATCCAGTCACCTATTACGGCAAGATGAATCGCTTGTCTGCCCTTTTTGGGCTTGCCCTAGTAGATCATCTTAATGGACGGCTAGACTCCGCCTTGTCCGCATGGCATGACACCCTTGTCGCATCGCACCAGTATTTACCCACTGGCTATACGGATATGATCATCTCATATTCAACCAGTGAGCTCGAAGGCAGGCGCGGAGCTAACGCACAGTCAACCATACTAGAAGGCCAAGCCAGGACCTTGTTTAGTAGGACAGGGCGTCAACACCACTTTGCTGGCCTTGGTTCAACATGGCCTGATATTATTGGCGAGTGGCTTTTGGCACAGGGTCGTAGTCCGGTCGTACCTATACAAGAGCATAGATAAACCTTTGTTCACGCCTTAGCGTAGGCAGTACCCTCCGCCAGGGTGGGAGGAAATTGGTACTCGAAGATACATGGTACTTTTGTCACCCAGTGGCGTGGGGCCATGGACCAATAGAGGCTTTATGAACGTCCAAGGAAAGCACCTAACTGGTTACCCAAGCTCTCGTCTCGGGACCACACTACCGTAGTTGAGACTTCAGATTGAAAATTTGATGGTTAGCCCAACCACTTTTATGATATCATTTCCATTAAGAAAATAGCAGCTATAAATTACAAGGACTTAAATGTATGAAGTATTATATACATAGATACCTAGGTAATTTAGTTTTAACCAAAATGTGACGAACCTATGCCTCAAAGAGGTATAGTCGTTACTGGATTGACTAATCCGGGTGTCTTGATTTGAAGGTAACAGTATCAATAGTAGGTCAAGTAATTGGGTAAGTTCTGTTTGTCAGAGAGGCTTGGAGTCCTCTCACTATACTCGAAAGAATAGTCTTAGATTGATAACTAAAGAGCTATGGAAAGAGTGACTAGATACATAGGAAACACTTATGGTTATATAGTCTCGACATTCTCTCCCTTGGTTGAACGTTGCTCTCTCCTGCTCCAGCGCTGATCAGAGCAGTGTTCTTTTGCTCTGTCATGCTCCAGAGCAAGACAGAGAGTGTCCTCTTTTATGCTCTGTCAGCTGACAGAGCAGACTACCTCTTCCGTAGTTTTTCCGTGGTTGGTTGTCCGATGCCCCACCTGGCCGCAATATGCGACCACAGAATGTTGGGTTGTGACACAAAAGATCTATCAAATAATTAGTTGTAAGCCATAAGTTACCTAGATATATAGGGATAAAAATTATGTCAGACGTAGCTTCTGTTAAATACAGTAGTATAAACCAATATACGTAGTGGAAGATATAAATGCTAGGAAAAAAATACCGAGAATATTCTACAATCTAAAATCGCAGGGATATCCACATTTAACTCCTTCCAAGGAGCTCAACTACCGTTAACGCTCTCCCCTACCGCCTATTTAACAGTGCCGCCACGAACAACGCCGTCAACATGAGGGAAATACTTAAAATATGAGAGAAAAGGAACTAATCTCCTGTAGCAGTTACTTGCGAGCTCCTCGCACAACAATATGTTTACCCCCCTTATGGTTCGTCTTGTGACACTCAGCATAAGAAAACAGCAGTGCATTAGCCTGAGATTACGAAGAAGACAGTGGCAATTCTCCCCTTAATATTACTCAGTGTGATTATTCGAAGGTACCGAGAACGGAGGAGGCGGGTGTTGACGTATCATTCTATCCGGGTGCAGTTCTAATGCATGGTGATTTGATTTGCACACAGTATGTTTGTCATTAGAGAGAGAGAGGTGTATCGTACGTCAGTTACCCCTTGTCTTCAGTGCTGCCCAGCTCAAATGTGACTCTACACCCTTAATTTCTTATTTGGATCATCTTACTCTCATCTTACGTATTTATAGGAAATACTAAAGGAGATTGAATATTTAATAATATGGAACGAGAGTGTTAAGTTAGTGGTCCCTTGTATCTAGTGAAATACTTCAGCGGTGTCGACCCCCAAGTAGCACTGTTACGAGACCGACTGTATAGGTAGGGGGTAATAACCCTGTTGTTACGCGAAGAGATCGTAAATAACTGCTATAAGAATTATCATATACATACACAAGTAGCCTCTTTGTTCCAATGGTTCGTTTGTCCTCGTACTATTCTAACTGTAAGATATACTGTGTAAATATACTGTATATATCTTAAAAATTTCAATATGATTGACGCTTTGACCTTTTTCGCGCTATCGTCCACTGTTGTAGACAGCGGGAACATTCAATAGACATCCTTCTCCTCAAGGATTACCCAGGGGCCATCCTTACGAGGGCAACTCCCTGCTCACTCGTTAGCGTGGAAACTTTACTGAAGCTAAACGGAACGAATATCCACTCACTGGTGGGACGTTATCTCGGACCAAACTGTCACGACCCAAAGAACCCACGACCGCTTCTGAGGGAATGGGTGGGGCATAAAACAACCAATGACGGTATAACTCCGGATACTTGGATGTGTCAACCAGAAACACATCCAATACTTTATATAATACTTAAAAATAGTCCCTTAACCTTACTTTAACAAGTATTTTATAATAAATAATAAATTTGAGCCAATTATTCAATTCTAAACAAAAGCAATGGAAAGTAATGAGTGCTATTGCATAGTACCATATATCATTGCCTCTATCCCTATTTGATGTATGTCTGAGCATCCAAGTTCAGACGAAGAATGGAACCCTACCGAAGTCCATTATTAGCAGAGTGCTCATGTGCCTTTTAGTAACCTCTCGGGCTAAGTTCTACCCACCCACATACGCGGCCTACCTAATGCATATGTAGATTTACCTAAAGTGTCGACTATTTTCCGATACGTGTGGTTTCAGTAAATATTCCGTTCGTGGAACGAGTGTAAAAGGTGTTACTATGCTCGCCTTAGAGGTGGGTCTCTACTGTCAAGCCTTAAACATTTTCTAACGCTTGTTTGTTCTCTGTTATATTAGAAGGTTAAGTTATCTAGGAAATGATCAAGCGTGTAGAAGTTATATATATGCCACAGATGTGGGGCGAATTTACCAGCCGCTTAATATTCAGCCATTAGATATTCCAACATCCTTCATTGGTATACCTAGGTACTCTGTGGCCTTTTGCCAATCCAGCCGTCAACCGCCTGCTCGTACGTATAAAAAGGTATAATTCAAATAGACCGGCGGCCTCCAATTTGATATCAGTTGGCTGCAACTGACCCAGGTGTAGACAGAGGTCGGTTATAGACGGGCAGAACCCATACTGTTGGAGTGTATATCTCTGAAGCTTAATAAAATCGCCACATCTATACCGTAAATCACGGCCCACGTAGATCGGGATGTAGCTGCGTATGAGGTTAAATCGCCTTTCGAGTATGGTTGAAGTCAGATTCTCATCTCGGAACGCTTCGCAATGAGTGAGGAAGCGCAGTGTCGCCTCTAGGTTGAGTTCGCGCGGGGCAGCATGTACTTGGAGCGTCTGCCCAAGTATTTCAAGATTTTTGGACTTTGTACAAATATCTAGTTCAGGTTGCGTCTTCTGCGCCCCCTCAGCTAGTTGAAACACCTTGCGGAGTATATCAAGTTGGAGAAGCGCCTTATCCCGGGGTTCTTTTGACAATTTCTCTATATCCTTTCGCCATTGCTCGTTCAGTGATTCGGTTGTGAGCTTCGTAAGACTAGTTTCATTGTCGCAATCAAGCAAAGAGACAGATTGAATTAAGTATTGGAGGAAGAGTTTCTGTGTTCTAGTCGGAGAACGCTACGATTGTCAGTTTGAATTAACCAGGGTTCATCCTCAGTATACTTACTTTTACATCGATAATGAAATCATTCCATTCGTCGGCATGATGTATCTCTTCCTTTTTGGTAGTAGCTATTTCAATGATGATGTTAGTGTATTTGTATCTAGGTAGGTAATAGTTAAAATCCATTGTAGCTTGAAGGGGGAAATACCGTCAACCATTTCTTTTGTATAGATCTTCTGTCGACATAGAAGGGTTCCGAATGTATCTTTTATTCATCAAAAAAGAGGGTGCAAAGGGAAACAAAAGCTCTTAAATCGATTAACTTCAAAACAAATATAATGAATAAAAAGAAAAATAGCTAAAATATATAGATATTTAATTGACATATCTCATAACCTTTATACTTATCTAGATCTCATCGCATTAGGCGTGAAAAACCATTGTGTCGGAACAAGTGAGCTAAAAGTAATAAATTATCACCCGTAAGTCAAGATAAAGGGGTGTGGGAAGTGGAGCAAACAGGGGTCATCGTCCGTGGTGAATATGGAATTCGTATTGTTAAGGCCCATAGGGCCTTAAGTCAGTTAGTTCATGGCTATTAAAATAGAACTATCTGAGCTCAATATTCGAGATCACTGTTTTCTAAAAATTCGGTTAAGAGACTATCTTCAGAAATTGCACGTGGTGGCTCTAGCCATATAAGTCTTTGTTCAACTTCGTCCATGAATTTAACATTCAACAGGTAGTGGAATAGCCATTTTATCACACATACAACTCATCTACCGTTTCTTTTGGCACTCTGTAGAGTAAGCAGTTATGAAATTTCTGTTACGCAAGCAATCATTTAGGTAACTGCATCTCCTAGTCAACTGCTTGATTGTATCATCCCTGATCGAAGATCTAATTTCAAATTAACAGCTAACATCCTAACAGATCGGATTGAAATTACGTGGAAAGCATGTAGGCCGTAAGCTGAAAAACATAACTGTGGAGTCAACATCAGGGATAACTCAAAGCTCGGCATCGTTCTGTATTAACTACTTCAGGCTATTAATTAGTTCTCATTGGAAACCCTGCACAAAAGAGCGTTTACCGTGCCTCCCCCCAATCTTACAGAGGTCGACAATATATATTTAAAGGTAGCCCTTGATTCATTTAAGAGTCGGATGCCACAAGAAGCACTCGAATGAAGATCTCCTGAAATATCCCGAAACCCAGGTAGCAAGCGACGATCTTACCCGATATCTCCGAATATGGCTGTGGGATACAACTGTGCGCACCACTTCAAAATCTTAAAAACTGACAGTACGATTATCCAATGGATCTGCGACCTATGTCACTGGGGGGTCCTCTTTGGTGGATCTTCAAGTGCAAATATTGCAAGGGGCATATATGTAGGGCATGTGTTGCTAAAATGTAAAAAAGTAAATTTCGGCGAAGATATATGTGCTCGTTATCGCATAGCAACTACCTAAATAGCTGATCGCAAGTTGAAAGCTGTCCAGGTATATATGGGCCAACCCGCTTGCCCACATTTGGCTGAAAACCGCGAATGATCATACGCGTCCAAAGTGTTGAGATGAGGTACCATGCAGGATAGTGTACATCGTTTACCAAGAGGAGGGGCTTGCTTCCAGAAAAATAGTTTCGGATCCATAAAAGTAACGAAGATTAGGTCTATGAAGGATTTCGCCACTGCTGCTCACTGACTTCCTAAAAGATGCCAGAAGATACGGTATATGGGCCGTACATGGTATATTGACCACTGTAGCTCGAGATGCCGGCTATGCAAACTCTTGAGATGCTGACCATCCATGTCAAGCCAGTCCCACTGTCGAACAAGACATGAATGCGTAGAGAATAGGGTGAGACTCCAAAAGAGGTAATGATGATAACATTTGGATAGATGATAAAATACGTAACCCTTCAACAGTGCGTGCGGGAATATAGCAAATGTTTAGACAAATAATCTCAAAAATAAGTATAATAATCGATAATATAATTCATTTATATTATATTATACAAGCACCACAAAGAAAAAAATAAAGTAATCCAAGTCCCACCCGGAATACACGGAGGCACGGGAGAGGAACGGCTGAGCGCAGAAGAGATGGCACATAGGAGGGCTGGATGTGACGAACTTACATACCTGTAAGTATAGCTTCAACAAGGGGGTTCTTGATTTTAAGGTAACAGCAATCGTAGAGGTCAAGTATAATCAATCAAAGTGCGTTCGTCAAAGAGGCTTGGAGTCCCCTCCCTACTCGTAATGAATAGACTTGGATTGATAACTCAAGAACTATGAGTGACTAGATATAGTAGATGGCTTGCTTTCTATAGATAGTCCTCCGCGAAAATCGCCCATTTAACGCTCTCCTCCCCCAAATATTGTACGTAAGCTGCCCTAGGGTCCTTCCCCGGCAGCAGTCGGTTTCCCCCCCAGTCTTCTGCAGAAGAAGATATGCTGAGACGTTTTCCTCTCCCGGCAGCTGCACTGGTCATTGGAGCCGGTGTGGCCAAATCGTTCGTGATAGCCGGCGAAGTTGCCGTGTCCGGGTCTCGCTGCGAGAAGCCGGTGCAACGTAGCCCTCCTGAAGGACGCCAGGCATGGTGTGATCACTGCAGGAGACCATGTCTCTTGATATCTTGGCTCTCCCTGAGCTCTCCACCATTCCTTAAAGTCCTTTTTCTTTCTGCTTTGGAGATCACGTTTCACCCATGCGGTCGTAGGTGCGGCCGTGACCCCCCGACTCAAGCATTGCTCCCTCTTTTGCTAGCTTGTCAGCTGCCTCGTTACCCTCGATGTCCTTGTGCCCCGGGATCCATTAAACGACAACTCCTGATTCGTATGACGCTGCGAGCTGTTGGAAACGGAGAAAGACACCCTATGACGACTCGGGTGGGTTCCCGTTCAGCCCGTCTACCACCGACGTATTGTCCAGGCGCTTTTGGCGTCCGATTGCTCGCGCTGCTGCCAGGCCTTGCAGGACGCCGTATACTTCCGCATTCACGATTTCCGCTTGTAGAAATTTACCCTTACCCCTGTACAGCTCTTGTGTTGTTCCACCTTTTCTAATCGTGAAGCTTCAACCTGTGCGATCTGGACCACGATCCTTTATCTGCGATCTTCCCGAGTATATTACCAGGTCGGTTTCTATGTTTCTTTCCCGTAGCCAATGTCTGAACTGTTGTGCTTGTTCTTTGCCTGTGCAGTGGAGCGGTCTGTTGAAAAGTGGCCTGAGTAGTATCGGTCTTTGGAAGCTAGAGACCAGTTGGCAACATCTTTGCAGTCTGGTCGCCTCCTTGCGTGCCTGTAACAATATTCTGCCTATAAGCTCCACATAAAAGGATCCCTAGAATAAATGGTACGTTAGAGATGCCCAGGATGGCCGGCCCGGGGGTACCAAGTCCTCTTGCCACCATTTAACTTACTGAAGTCTCTACGCAGCTTGGTATTAATCCTGACAGTCAATCCAGGGTGGTTTGGATAAGCTTGGACTAGACCTTTAAAACTGGCAAGGTAAGCCTTTTCGTGCCTAATATTGCCGCTGTCATCCTACTAGCTCATGGTCAACTAACAGAAGTAAAATATGGCAACACTATAGGGTTTCTACGACCCCCTGGTCTCGGCCAACATACACATCCTCATTCTCCTCTCTAAGTAATGAAACACCTTTACCTATGTGTGACAAACTTATATTTGGGTATAAGTATAGTTGTAACTGTAAGGGTCTTGATTTTAAGGTAAATAGTAATCATAGGGGGGGTCATGTGGTGGTAACACAGTGTCACGAACTAGTTTGGGGACAACCAGTTGAGCCATAAAGCAAAAGCTTCCCAGTGACCAATTGGTCACTGTTCCCCAATTATATATTATATGTGTTACCCCGCAGCTTGGAACGTAACACACAGTCATATGAGTTCGTCAAGGAGGCTTGGAGTCTAGGCACAGGTTACCTCCTAAAAAACCCGCTTCTTTTCCAAGGTATTATCTAGCTCCGCTCTCAAGGATTCGTACCATTGGAGGTGACCAGACAATAGTCAGGTGTAGCGTTCTTTCACATGCCTCGGGGTGGCATACTTAATGGATATGGTTAGCCCAGGCCTCTTGGGGATACCTGTAATAGTTCTATACTTAGGTACTTAATCCTATTAATTTCTCGCCTACCTAACGTATACTATACGTGTTGCTTACAATGCGGCAATGGTGATTCT